AAAAAAAAAAAAAACAAGAGGGACCTCTCGCTCTGCCACGACCTCTGGTATGACACAATTAGGCACACGCACAGACACACTCAGATGCATACACGCGTGTTCTTTTCGGATTTTGATCGCCATGGTTTATGCCACTCCTTCTTTTTGTTTTTCTTTGGCCTGTTGTGGGAAAAGAAAAGAATTATATCCCCATTCCTCTTCACAGTATCGGCAGACGCCACTGTGCGGAAGAGCCGCAACACTCCGCCACAGTTACCAACCAGCTGCTGCGGGAGCAGCAAGAATAGCAATGATGGACAGCAGCCTCTCACTCCGCTGGCGGTTTTTCTAAACGATGCTCTCGGTTCTGGAGGACTTGCCGCTGGCGCGGCGTGCAATGCAGCCCATGATGGCGAAGAAGAGAATGAACAGCAGAACAAGACCAAGCAGGAGAGCAAAAATGTCAATGCCCTTCATGGCGCACAAAGACACACAACAGTGCTAGACGATAGAGGGCCCGTATATATATCTTATACCTACCAGCGTGTGTGTGTGTGTGTGTCTGTGTGTGTAGGCACCTACTCGGGCCTTCTCGTCTTGCTGTGAAATGCAGCAGCTAGCCGGCAAGCCACCAAGGAAGAAAACACGGGAGAAGCAGAAGGCGCAGAAGATAGACGCAGTCGTATATGCATGCACACCAACCAAAGACGGAGACACACATCCACCCCCACATAATGCGCAGGATACCTACAGGTGGGAAGCGCAGGTGTGAAGAAGGTCACTTCTTTTCACCCTTTTTTCTTTTAAAAAAACAGAGAAACAGAGAGACGCTGGCTTGTTTTCCGCCCTCGCCCCCTCTCTCTCTCCCGCTCTTACACGTGTGTGCAGCAGCTGCTGCATAAGCATGCGACCTTCTCCCTCTCTTCGCTCTCACGCACTGCGGCCGTGCAGCTGCTCATGTGAGCTTCGCCTCGTTGCGCAGGTACTCGCCAACGTCCGCCTCGTGGAAGAGCACCGTCGCGTTCATCTCGCACTTGCGGCACTCCAGCGTGCCGAGCGCGGCGACGCCAAAGCCAAGCGGGACGTCGCCCATCGAGAAGACGGCGACTTTCTGGTACTTGGGCGTCGCCTCGGTGATGCGGCCCAGCCCGGCGCGCGTGACGTGGCCGCCGTAGAGGAACTTCTGCTCCTGGTTCGGCTTCACCCACACCTTGAAGAGCGCGTACTGTGCGATGTAGTCAAGCGCGGTGACCTGAATGCGCATGTGGCCGTTGTGCGTCACCTTCGCGACGAGCACGCCGATGCCCATAAGGTTCGACTTGGCGACACAGCTGGCAAGGCGGGCGAGGCGCTGCGGCATGTGCCACACGCGGCTGCGGTGCAGTCGGAACACGTACGGCTCCGCCTCGCCGCGGCGCTGCAGCAACTGCGCGGTGTTGGGCCCGATGTACTGTGCGAGCTTGTCGAAGAGCCGCCGTGTCTCGTCCTCCGTCAGTGCACGCATATCTGTCTGTTTGTGTCTGTGTTTGTGAAGGGTGAGCGGCTTCGCACTTCTGCAGCGCGGGAGACGAATAGAAACGAACACAAAGGCTGAGAAGGGCACACACTCAACAACAACAGGATACATGCACACACACACACACACAGACTGAGAGAAAGAAGTCCGGGGAAAAAAAAGCGGGGGAGCGGGAGCATAAAACGAGCGCCCTTCTCACACACCCAACCACACACACAATCGCTTTCACCCACGCGAATGCACGGTGGGTGAATGCACAACACTGGTAGTAGCAACCATGGCAGGAATAACTCCAAAGGCAACACAAGAAAACGAGGCCCATCGTCCTTCACCCCTATTCACATTACCCGACAACTCTCCTGCTTCTCTCGCGCCTTTTTCAACTCCGCCAGCCCCTTCGCCACATCCACTTGCGTCTGCTGCACGTTGTAGTCGACGCGGTCCAGCACGCTTCCCTGCTCCACTACCATCGCGCCGAGGTCCTTGAACATCTCATGCAACTCCGTCACACTAGTTAGTATTTCCTGTATCTCACGACTCACTTCCTGCTGCTTCGCTTCTTCCACGAGCAGGGCCTGAATATCCACCTGTGTGTATCCCAGCTCGAGGTACTGCGCGACCTTCTCCTCCTCCTCCATCCGCGCATGCGCCTCGTGGGAACCGATCTGCTTGTACCGCCTCGCCTTCTCTTCGCAGCGCCTCAGCTGTGATGCATACAGCTCCTGCCCGTCTCGGAAGACCTGGATAATCTGCGACAGCCGCGAGGAGAGGTGCTTCTTGGCGTTTACCGACGCCCGCTGCTCGTCCTCGTTAGTGGGGTCCTGAGGCCGCATGCCAGACATCACCATGCGCTCCAGTTCCCGCAGCAGCTTCTGGATATCCTGTGCGTTGTGCTCAATTTGCTGCTGTTGCGCAGCCTCCTCCTCATCGGAGAGGAACTTCGGCTGCAGGAACGCCCGCTGCTGCTCGTGCAGACGCTCGATCTTGAGATTGATCGTATTCTCCAGTTCAACAAAGTGGCGCAGCGCACGAATCCAGGGCGGAGTCGTAGGAATACTATCCCCATTGGTGTGGCCACTGTCACACCGCTGCCTCGTTTCACCTAGCCACTCGGCCTGCTGCTGAGCCGCCCGCCGGAGGGACAAAAACTCCTGCAACTTATCTCTTGTGAACAGATATGGCAAGTGACTCATTGACCCCCTACTCGCCTCAACACCTGCATATGAATGAAAAGTTGAGGGAGAAAGCCATGCTTCAACGCAGCGCACACACTTTTAAACCCTTGTGTGTGTGTGTGTGTGT